CACACACTCACACGATGCGCAAAACTCCGCATTTGAACAGTCAATAGCAAATGCTTAAGCTAATAACAAAACAGTAGCTGATTCAGAAGCGCCTGATTGTCATAGCAAAGTCAGAATTACCTCCTCTCCTAGGTTCACGAAACGGTCGTCTATAAAATGCATTGCTGTTCTGTTGTAAGTGATCTTAAAGATTCCTAAATGCATCTACTTTCGGAAGGTGAAATAAAGTGCTTTTGCTTTCGCCTAGAAACACACAGCGTCTCCTTGACATGGCTGCTTCAACACTAACTGCGGTTAGTGAAACCACGCTTTCTTTCTTTGCGTGAACATTTGGGCGGCGTTATGCAAATCTTCCCAGATAGTGAGGTAGACATGTGGGGGCGTGTTAGAATGAGCCGTTTTAGGGGGGCGTGGCAGAGTCTTAACTTTGATAAAGAATATCTCTTTGGTTTTGAGACTTTAGTCTTTGCAACTTCAGGGATCTTATCTATGCACAATCAGCTTGTAACACTCCAAAGAGAAAGGAAAACTTGAAATCGCATCATATGACCCCTTTAAATCGGTTGAGATTTTGAAACATCCATAACCATAGTTCCATTAATACGTGAAGAATGTTTATTAAGAGTTAGTTAAGTGTTTTATTAGCGATATTCCCACTAATAAACCCGGACAATGCAGAGGGATGTAAATAATTGTGAATAAATAAACATTTATGTGACCCTGTGTTATGTTGGTTTTGTAGTGTTACCGTTGTGGTGAAGAGTAGAGCCTGTGGTTAGGTTGAGGATGGACAGCAAAAATTAAAGATCTTTTATACTGCATGTTGTTTGACTATTTACATGCAAGTATTGTAAGTCTTTTTGATAACTACATTAGTATGTACCGTTGCTGTCTAGCACTAAACTATAAAGATTTGAGTGAATGTGCTGTTAATGGAAGCAAGTTATATATAATTATCGTTGTGATGAGTGGGGTGGGATCATGGAAGGGAGGCTTGGCTTGGCTCCCATGGCTCTTAGCCCCACCCCACTTGTCATAAAAATTTTAAACTCTACTAACTTAAAAAAATTTAGTTCGTTTACTCAAATATTTTGAGACAATAAGTTTCCACAAATGTTTTGAGTATTCTTAACTTATCAGGTTTTACAGTGTGGCTTTGTGGTCCAGGGGCACATATATGTAAGTCAGCTAAATATGTCATTGCTGAATTATATTTATTATTTGTCTATTGTAGCCTACTTAGTTCAACACTGAAAATGACAAAGTTTACATCTGCGGGTGTTTACTGGGTGTGTTCATGATGATGTTTCAGGAAGATAACTTGCAAAACCAGTTTGGTGAAGTCGAAACGTATGTTGAACACATAACTGACATCTTATCTCTCTTTATGTAGTCAAATAAAAATAGACTTAAGACGGAGATAATAGGTGCACAGTAGTTTCTGGAAAGAATTGTAAAATTAGCCTAATATTGATTGGGTTTAAAGTGGTTTATGTCCTTTGTTTATTTATTACAGTAGACTTGCTTATGAGCACCTGCATTATTCAAATATTAAAAAAGCAATTTCTAATCATCTAAATTTCACTTGATTTACACGATATGCAAAAATTATTCTGAAAGTCATGGAGAGAGTTGTCCAAGGCCATAGACTAAAACATTAATAATAACATTTCATATCAAAGAAAGCATGCACTCTATCAAACTGAATATATTCACAACATTACTTGATTCTTTACAGTAAATTAGCGCCTAAAAAGGTAACAATAATATAAAGCAGAATATTTACTAATTTCAATATGAAGCCTATAAGGAAGTGGAAAGAGACAATAGTTACAGGAACTTATGCAGATAATGACTGATTGGTGCACATTTTTGCCTGCTGATAAGAACAATTTTTAACGCAATTACATGTATTTAAATTACAGATACTACTTAATAGTCTTTTTAAAGTTCAAATGTAAGCTTCATTTAATTCATATTTAATGAAGTCATGTTTAGAGATGCAGCTGTACAATGTAACATGATGCAATAAACTGTCCTAATGTTTTATGTGAAAGAACAATACATTTATTACAAAACAAATATAAACATATAAGAACATTTCTTTGCGGTATGTTTTGAAAAACAACTTTTCTAAGTATTTTGAGCCCCTTTTCTGAAACATGATCATTTTTGTCTGATAACGCCCACAGAAGCTGATTCAGTTGTATTCAGTGGAGCATGATTGGTCAGAGCAGAGCCAATGCTTGAGGCTGTATGGGTGAGAGTCACGTGACTGAATTACTCAGCTTTCCGTTGCATGTGCTCAGTCTCAGTCACGTTGAGAGCAATGCGCCAGGAAAGTCTGTGAACGCCCACTCTAACAGCCATACCAGCTTTCCGAAAGAGCTCTAGCTTCAGCACACTGTATTAGTGCAGTGATAAACAACTCAAGATCTAAACAGAGGAAAACAAATACATTCACAACAAATGAATGTTCTTCTGTAGATTATAGCTTAACTGGTACTTTCTGTAAAGTGTTTTCACCAGTGCTCTGTCAACACAAATGTCCTGAAACAATTGCATGCATTGATTCTATTATTAATAAAGAGAAGTGTCAAGATAACATATCACAGGCATTCTACATTAATGGGCAACCTTGAAAACAACACATCTCAAAGTGCTTCTCAATACAATGATGTATTCAAGTCAATATGATGTATTTAACAATATGTTTAATTACAATAAAACTGCTCTGAAGACTGTATATTAGAAAAATAAAGAAGTATATTTGAAAAATAAAAATCAAATGAACATTGCTGAGTACAAATATTTTTACATGATTAATTCGGAATATTTTGTCATTTAATAATATTTCATGTATTTTACAATAACTTTTGCCTTATTCTTCTATTAGTTTATGAATGCGTACATCTGAGACCTGCAATTTTTCTTCATGTTTTTCACAAATAAACCTCCATTGTGACTGAAGCAGTCAACAGACCCAACATCATGTCTTTTGCAACAATTTAATTATACTCCCTACTTATGCAGAACTGTTTGTTGCCATACTACAGATGTTCAGGTCAGTAAGTAGGTTTACTGCTTATTACTTATAGCGTTTTTGTAGCCATATATTATTCTAGGAGAAAACTACATCCAGGGGGCCTTTTATCCTAGGGGCCCCATTGTACACTATCATAGTAAACAGCATGTTTAAGGGGCCAGGCTGTAGAAAATAGACTATTTTTGTTTTGTATAATGAATAGTAAAATAGCACATACGTGTGTGTGTGTGTGTGTGTGTGTGTGTGTGTGTTGTTCAGTTATATCCCACATTATGGGGACAAAATGTCCCCACAAAGATGGCAATATCCAAAATTCTTGTTCTTGGGGGGGGACATTTTTTGGTCCCCATGAGGAAACAAGCTTATAAATGATACAGAATTAATTTTTTTGAAAATCTTAAAATGCCAGCAGCTGTTGTGAGGGTAGGGTTAGGGTAAGGGGATAGAACATACAGTTTGTACAGTATAAAAAACCCAATAGGACTATGAATTGTCCCCATAAAACATGGAAACCCAACGTGTGTGCGTCTGTGTCTGTGTATATATTTGCTTTTACTTTTGTTTGTTTACCAAAACAATGTGGTAGGCCTACTTAATCTTTGTTGAAACATTGTCTTATTTATCTTCTTAGGTCATCTAAACATCCTGTATCTTTTTCATAACTAATCGTGAATTCATGGTAAAAACAATGACATCTAAAAAGTAAACGAAACACAGGACAGAAAATAGCTTAGAAAGAAAGAGACTGAACACAGAGCGTATGCCTACAAAATGATTAGGTCAACACTGACATCTAGTGGTCAATTATAGAATGGACGTAAATGTATTATTTCACCTCTAATCTGTGAATAGTTGAATGAAAAATCGAAAGAAAACAGATTTTTAAGATTCTATATCCCAGATTGCCTTACTGAATACCTTTCCATTGTCCTGGCGCAAATATGGATGTTGCGTATATACAAACACGATCACATACAAATAATATATATATATATATATATACATTCTAAAGATGACATGACTGATTTGTACATTTTAACAAAAACATAATTTACAACCCACGTCCAAACGTTGTGATATATTGTATCTTGTCATAATCCCCGGAATAAATCAATAGGTTTATCGTTTCCTCACGGATGTATTTCACCGTGACACTTCAGGTGCCGCATAGAGCTGCTGTCTGTGGCTGGATCATACGCTACTGTAAGTATTTTGCTCTCAATACAGTCTGTTTTAAAAGAATGACAGCTAATGGCATCTTCTAGTTAAGCTCTGTCAATGTGTTTGTCCTTCACACTTTATTTCTTCAGATATGTAACACAAATCATCCCGTGGTCTCAGACTCTTTAGTTTATTTTGCTAAGAAACACCTTTTCAAAATGTTTAGTGATGAACGACAGATCCAAATTACTCCTAATAACACTAACGTGTTATGTTAATGTTATATTTAGAGCATACAGTTAAGCTAGGTGCTATGTTAATTTAGAGTATTATCCATTTCACGTAGTCAAATGTGATTTCAGCAGAGCTGGGTAGATTACTTACAAATTGTAACTCGTTACTGATTCCAAACACTTTCTGTATATAAGCGGTAGGCTTTTAAATTTTTTTTTAGAAAGGAACATTTAAAAGATGAAAAAGAGGAGTTAGGGAGAATCAGTAAATTATGAATAAATGTTTGCTATTGTGTAAATAATCATGTAATCCATAAAAAGTAACTGTAGTCTGATTACGAGTATTTTGAAATGTCATTTAATCTAATTACAAGTACTTAATTTTTGGAATCTGATTAGGTAATCCAGATTACATGTAATCAGTTACTACCCAGCTCTGGATTTCATCCTGTGCAGGCAGCATGGCGAAACCCCGTGGGTTCGAGTTTTGGAGGAGCACTCTGAAGGGTGCGCGCTATGTGGTGGCGCCCATGGTGGAGCAGAGCGAGCTGGCCTGGAGGCTCCTGAGCCGCAGACACGGCGCAGAGCTCTGCTACACTCCCATGCTGCACGCACAGGTGTTCGTCAGGGATGCCAACTACCGCCGAGAGAACCTGTACAACGAGGTAAACCAGGAGGACCGACCCCTCATCACACAGGTGGGCTCCATCTTGTTTGGCATCAGTAAGCCCCTTGAGGTGACAGAGAGGACAATGTTCATATGGAGTGTGAGTTATTCACTGCTGTCTCCTTACAGTTCTGTGCCAATGATCCTGAGGTGTTTATCCAGGCTGCTCTACTTACCCAGGATTACTGTGATGCCATCGATCTGAATTTGGGTTGCCCTCAGATGATTGCGAAAAGAGGTACCAAAACTCAGCTGACACTTCGTTTCTGTTGTATGTGAGAGATAAACCACCATTCATAAGATTTTTTTCCGGCAAGGATGCAGTAAATTAATCAAAAGTGAGAGTAAAAACAGTAATGACAATGTTGCAAAAGATTTCGGTTTTATTTCCGTTCATTGAAGAATCCTGAAAAAAAAGCATTACTATTCCAACAAATATATTACCAGCACAAGTGATTTCAACGTTGATAATTAGAAATTTTTCTTAAGCATCAAATAAGCATGTTAAAATGATTTCTGAAGGATCATGTGACATTGAAGACTGGAGTAATGATGCTGAAATTCAGCTTTGCCATCAGAGGAATAAATTGTTTAAAATGTATAAGAATATCAAAATATATTGCAATTATTTTAAATTGTAATAATATTTAACAGTATCCCAGGTGAAAAAAAAGTACACTTCCATAATGTACTTGGAGTGCTCTATTAATTTTGTACTTAATATACAAACAATTACTACCTCTTAAGATATACTTAAGATCATCTACAGTAAGTGTACTCAACTGTGCTATTTTGGGACACAAAATTAGTGCGCAAAAATAGAGCACTTTAAGTATATTATGGACGTGCACGTTTTTCACCTGGGATTACTGTTTTAACTGTATTTTTGATCTAATAAACACACCCTTAGTGAGCATAAGAGACTTCTTTTAAAAATATTTGAAGAAATCGTACTGACCCCAAAACTTTGAGCAGTAGTGTTTTAACATGAAGTTTGGTTCTAAAAATATTTGCTTCATTTATTCACTTAAATCTAACATTTTTGCAAAATGCGTGTTTCCCCTTATGGCTCATTTATAAATTCTCTCCTAGGCCATTATGGTGTGTTTCTTCAAGACGAGTGGGACCTTCTTGAGAAAATGAGTAAGTTGTCTTATTTTAATAAGCTCAGTGCAGATGTGAACCACGTAGAGAACGTGTCTTATTCAGGTGCTGTCGTTTACAGTTAAGCTGGCCGATGAAAAACTCTCTGTGCCCATTACTTGCAAAATCCGTGTCTTCCCAGAGATTGAGAAAACCGTGAAGTATGCCAAAATGCTGGAAAAGGCTGGATGCCAGGTAAAGTGTTCCCCTTGCTTATCATATAGCAGATACTTTTATCTAAAGTGCACATGGAGCAACCTGGGATTAAGCAGCTTTCTCAGGAGCCCATGTGAGGGAGGGAGTGAGGCTTACGTCCCTCCAACCTGGAACTGATCTGTTTGTTATACCAGCTGTAACCACTACATTACCTCAAATCTCAATCTAATGCGATTCATATATTCTTGAACCAGCTGCTGATGGTTTAGTATCTTTAAAATTTTTTACAGCTCCTCACAGTTCATGGGAGAACTAAAGATCAAAAGGGGGCTTCGACGGGCATTGCAAGTTGGAAGCACATCAAAGCTGTACGGTAAGAGATGCAACACTTGCTTCTGGTGCTGACTGTTCTTAGTGTTTTGTCCTGATGGTGTACCTTTTATTGCATTTGTGCAGGGAGGCTGTAAACATTCCCGTTTTTGCCAATGGAAACATCCAGCACCTGAGTGATGTTCAGCGATGCATGGAGGAGACTGGAGTACAAGGCGTCATGAGTGCAGGTAACGCATACAACGACAAGATTCATAAACATGCTTGTACAGAAAGACTTGCACTCTGATATTTCTTAATGCAGTAATACAAAAATATGAACGCATTGCATTTACAGAAGGGAATCTCCACAATCCTGCCCTGTTTGAAGGCCGTAGTCCACCTGTGTGGGAGATGGCTGAGGAGTACCTGGGGGTTGTGGAGAAACACCCACCCTGCAGTCTGTCTTACGTCCGTGCTCACATCTTCAGACTGTGGCACCACACGTAAGTTCGTTCACATTTGATGCTTGACACTGATATTTCGCTGTTGCTTGAGATTTTAGTCACTTAATGAATTGAGAGAGTTCATTAAATACTATCATTCAAAAGTTTGGGGTTACTATGATTTTAAAGGGGTCATATGATGCGATTTACATCACAAATGCCTCGTTTATAATGGGTTTTTGTCTCGTCGCTCCGGCCTGACAGGGCATCACAATATGTTAAGGGGCGTAACATTTCTGTCACACGCTTGAGGTATTCGGCCAATCACAACGCACTGGATAGCTGGCCAATCACAGCACACCTCGTTTTTTCAGACCGATGAGCTTTGTAAAAATCGATGCGTTTCAGAAAGGCGGGGCATAGAGGAGAAACAATAATGTACAGTATGTGGAAAATAATGTGTTTTTTGAGCCTTAAACCGCATAAACACATTTCATTACACCAAATACACAACATAATGTTCTTTTTAGCAACATCATATGACCCCTTTAAGAAATTAATACTTTTATTCAGCAAGGGCTCATGCAATTGGTTAAAAGTGACAGCAAACATAGTTAAGTTACATTATGCTGTTTTTCTGAACTTTATATTAATCAAGAAATCAAGTTTTCACAGAAATATGAAGCAGTACAACAGTTTTCAACATTGATAATAAGAAGAAATGTTTCTTTCCCTAAGATGTCTGTCAGATGTGACACTGAAGACTGAAGTAATAGCAACTAAAAATTCAGCTTTGACATCAGTGGAAGAAATTACTTTGTGAAATATAGTACAGTGGAAAATATTTCTTTTAAATTGTAATAATATTTTACAATATTACTGTTTTTAATGCAGCCTTGTTGAGCATAAAATACTTTTTTTCAAAAACATTTAAAAATCTTGCCGACCCCAAACAGGAAGGTGATGACTGGTGAATTGTATAATAAGAAGTATGTCTTTTTATTTCAACAGCTTACAGATACATCAAGACCTGAGGGAGGAGCTGGCCAAAGCGAAAAACGTAGCTGGGATTGCCGAGGTCAACAGACAGCTGAAACAACGTTGCCAGGTAAAGGAACTCTGTTGATTACAAATTCATCATAGTCCAACTTTATTCAGACAGAAATATTTATAAAGCTTATGACCGAGTTTGAGAGAGCAGTTGCTTTTTACTGTTACAGGAGGAGATGGCTAAAGATGAATCAGAATGGACTCGGACTGGACTTCCCTTCCCTCACTGGATCTGTCAACCCTACGTCAGACCACCGTGAGGACATGTTTTCTGATTGGGTCTTGTGTGAATATGAAGAAACCATCACAATTATACTATTTCTGTGGTCTCAGCAAAACAGTATAATATCAGTCATAATCTTTGACACTTACTGAATGGGCCAAAGCCAAGGTTCAAAGAAATCTTTTCTGTCCATGATAGACATAAACTAGTTTGAATATAACATTGGAACATGATTGTGAAGCTGGTATATTTTGTAGGCCTAAGGATCCAAACACTGAAAATGGGCAGAGAGCATCAGAAACCAAAGCTGTGAGTGTAAAGAGGGCGCTGGAGGACAGCGATGCACCCAACGACTCGCTCTCCAAGAACAAGCAGGAGAAGAAAGCCCGCAACCCCCACAAGAACTTCTGTCCAGAGCTGAAGCGTAAGGATAAATCTGTTCCCAATATTTCCCAAAGCCCACTGACCTAATGGGGCCTTTAAGTGACATTGATGATGGCACAGTGCACATTACTGTAACCTTCGAAGAATAAAATAGAAAAAAATACTATTTTTATAAATTATATGAAAAAAAAAAAGTTTATTAGACATGCACTACCATTCAGAAGTTTGGGGTCAGTAAGGTTTATTTTATTTTATTCAGTGTCACATGATCCTTCAAAAATCATGCTGATTTGCTGATCAAGAAACATTTCTTATCCATGTTGGGAACAGTTGTGCTGCTTAATATTTTTGTGGAAACTGAAACGTTTTTTTTTTCTGGATACTGGATACTAAAACTGAAATAGAAATAATTTGTAACTCTATAAACGTCTTTACTGTCACTTACACTACACTACAAAAATATTATTTTCTATGAAAAATAATACAGACCCCAAACTTTTAAATGGTAATATATTATCATAAAGATATTGGCTAACATATATTGATTAAGGTCAATAACATTGCCTTTGCATCCTTGTGTTCTGCAGCTAAATACATCAAGTGTGAGCAATGTGGAAACCCTAAAGTAAGATTTTTGATTCTTTTCTTTCATCTGATGATTTTAGTGGTATAATGTACTCATTTTTGAAGTGTTTACAGAACCATTCCGTGTGCTTTTTAAAAATCAACAGGGGAATAAATGTGTGTTCAACTTGTGCCGTGGCTGCTGCAAGAGGAAGGCTTTCAAGGAAGTGGCTGATTGTCCTGGTTAGTATATCAAGCAGCTGTTTCACTGTGTATGAAGCGCACAGTGACTTGATCAGTAACACTCACAAATAGCTTCACAAGTGAACAAGTTAGTTTGGAGATGTTTAGTGATTTAATACTGTAAGGAATGGGGCATTAGAATTCTATTTGCTGAAATATTTGACCATTGTGTAAATATTGAGCCTAATAGGAAGTTGCATTAACTTCTAAGAATGTTTAAATTAAAACACTATTGTTCTGATGTTGTGATGATATAATCTCCTTACCAGCATGTATCTGAATGTAACTTGTAATGTTCTACCACTTCTATAAGACTAACTGTTTGCTCTCTGTTCATTGTTGGGTTACAGGCCATGGATTGAGATTCAAAACCAAGGCTTTAAAACAGTCGAACTCTGATACAGGTGGTGGGCTGACGAATGGGAATCCTAACAGTCAGACAGTTTCCACTGCAGCCCATGATCCTTTGTAAAGCAGTCTGTGTACTGGATATGGACAACAGTGACGTCTGAAAACACATTGAACTGGTTTACCACTTAACATCGCTGCACTGAATTAGAAGTACAAGACTGCATTTGAGGCCAAACCTGGTTTTTCACTGTTGATGTGTGATTTGGATCCATATGACACCAAATGAACTAAACATGCAAAGAACCAGACATGGAAAGATCAGTGCTACTGTTGCTTACACTAGATCATTTGTAGAGTCATTCTTTTCTGTAATGAAGTACCACTTTCTGGACTGCTGTCGGATGAATAGTTCCATAGTCTTAATATTTTAAGATGGTTTAATAGAGTAGTATATTTTGATCATTACTGGGAGCGTGGTATATGAAGCAGCTGCTCTGAATGCACAATCCTGTACTGCTCCCCGCTCACCTAAGATAGAGGTGGACTTTTATTTTGGGACGTTCTGTGGAAATACACCAATACACTGATGGACATCTTCACTCAAACATTATTTGAACTGTATTTTTACTATATTTATTGTCTACCAAAATGAAAGATTGGGCATAGTTATATGTTGCAACCAGAGTCAAACATCTTTGACTTTTAATGCATTTTTACGTTTTTTTTTGGAACATGTATATAAATTCATTTTTAATCCGAGACCTCTACTTACTTTCCTGTGCGGTTATGATCATGTGACTGTTTCACACACACATACTGACATTTATTTTAGAGATGAGGACAGTAACACTACAAAGATTCCTGACCCAGTAAATTATTTGTTTTTTTTAAGATGTTGTCAGATTCAGATGCCTTACCCTACAATTGCTATTATTGTACTGCATTTATCTTCATTCTTTTAGTGTTTCAAAAAAGTATGCCGTTTTCATACAACTTTGGTTCAACATAATGATATTTTCTTTTCATTATAGGCCAATGTTATTTTTTCACACAGTACTTTAAAGCACCAGGACTCAACTCAGTGCCTTATTCTTAAGATGTAAATGTGTGTACAGATCTGTGGCTATTCTGTGTGAATGTTTTTTTTCTCATCAGTTCCTTGGGCTTAGTATTGTTCAAACATTTTGGAAATTTTGCTCAAATACATTTTTAAGTGTTAAAAGTTGCCTTTCTCCTTTTCTAAAAATATGACCAAAAACTGAATCGTTTTTAAACGTTTCTAGGTATCGTTTATTCAAGGCCATAAAAGCAAATAAAATCTACCTTTGTTGAAGGTCACCAACCAGCTGATGATGATTCACTGGAGTAACAATCTTACTTAAACAGCAGAACACAATACAACAGAGAAATAACTAAATGTTATTAAACAGAGATGATGCTGCAATTGTTGAAAGTCTTCAAATCAAACTGCATTTCCGACAGAAACACATGGAGAAAGAACCTTTCCAGGTTGAAGCATCTTTTTGAATGTATGTTTATTTTAAAAGCATGTTTCGTGATGAGGTTTCTCAATGTGTAATCAAGGTTTGTCACAAGATACAGAGGAAAGTGCATCCTTTACAAAGAACAACAGGCCAGTACAGCTTAAGCGCCGCATTTCTCTTTTTATCTTTTTTTCCTTTTCATTTGAGCAACAGGGTGTGCTTGTCTTTAATACAGACAACAGATATCTTCTTCCCAACTTAAATAAAGTCTTTAGATTGTGATTTTTCTCTCTTCAGCAGGGAAATAACTGATTTCTAAACGGGGGGCCTAGGATGCGGCAGTGGCCCCGTGTACTTTCCTAGGAGAGGCATCTGGTCGAGCCTTCACATGTTGGTGCTCATTCGTGTTTGGCTGTTGGCAGGTGTGAGCTCCCCTTGACTGCCTTCTCTTGGAGGGGACTGTGAAAGGAATGAAAGGGATCAGTGAGAAGCATCATGTAGAGCGGGAAAAACAGATTGAGAGGGAAACGCATGCTGGTGTTGGTGAAGAATGACAGAGATGAAGACTAGGGGTATTCTTATAGCTCTTTCTCGGAGCTTATAGTTTTTCCACACATATTAAAGGGTTGATTTAATACAAAATTCCCGGTTCAATACAAATTAAAGGGTTAGTTCACCTAAAAATGAAAATTCTGTCATTAATTACTCACTCTCGTGTTGTTCGAAACCCGTAAGACCTTCGTTCATCTTCGGAACACAATTTAACATATTTTTGATGAAATATGATGGGGTTCTCTGAACGTCCCATAGACAGCAAGGTAACTACCACGTTCAAGGTCTAGAAAAGTACCAAGATGATCGACAAAGTAGTCCGTGTGACATCAGTGGTTCAACTGTAAAGTTACGACAGTATCATGACGCTTGCGTGTGGCGGCGCTGACCCAGAACCGACGTAATGATGTCATCACGCCGGATCTGGGTCAGCGCCAGCGCCACCACACTCGCGTCATGATACTGTCGTAACTTTACAGATAAACGAAGGTCTTACGGGTTTCGAACAACACGAGGGTGAGTAATTAATGACAGAATTTTCACTTTTGGGTGAACTAACCCTTTAAGCTCAATCGACAGCATTTGTGGCATTATGTTGATTAAAAAAAAGACTATATAAAGAAAAATAATGCAAAATTTGAGGTTCTGGAGAGGCACTTACAATGGAAGCCAATCCATAGCTTATTTTTTGAAGCACTGACATTAATTCTTAAATAAAAATTTGTTTATTATTTTAGCTATAACGTCGTTCTATTGATTTATATAGTCATTTTAGGGTTTAAGCTATGCTGTCTTTGCAACAATTGTAAAATTGTATATACACTATCATTCAAAAGTTTAGAGTGAGTAAGTATTTTAATGTTTTAAAAGAAGTCACTCATGCTCATCAAGGCTGCATTTATTTGATCAGAAATACAGTAAAAATAGTAATATTGTCAAATATTATTACAACTTAACTGTTTCAAATGTTAACATTTATTTATATTTTAATGCCATATCAGCAACAATGGTTATATTCATGGCAACATTAACAGTATCATTTCAGTACATAATTTACAATAAATTTTTAATATACTTTATTTAATAATTTATTCCTCTACTGTCAAAGCTGTATTTTCATCATCATTACTCCAGTCTTCAGTGTCACATGATCCTTCAGAAATCATTCTAATATACTGATTTGATGCTCAAGAAACATTTCTAATTATTATCAATGTTGAACACAGTTGTGACGCTTTATATTTAAGTGGAAACATTGATACATTTTTTCAGGATTCTCTGGTGGATAAAAAGTTCAAAAGAACAGCATATTCTTACTGATCCCAACTTTTTTTTTGAACAAACGTAATTTCACAGACACATATTGTCTACTTCTTTTGGTTATACTGCTAAAACAGCAAGTACTTTAACATTTTTGGATTGGCCTCGTTCATTTCTACTGCAAGTGCCTCACTGTGACCCAGATTTCTTTACTTTTTTTCAAAGAAAATGAGAGACAAGTGCTGTCAATTGAGATTAGCCTAAAATGAACCGAGAATATCAATTTAACATTCACTTAGTACAACAAAACTTTGCTTATAAGTGCAGTAATACAGCTGAGGCAACTTTATATGAGTCACATCAATGTGAAGAAAACAGCTTCATCTTACAGCATCACAATGTTAATGACGCATCCTCAGATGTGTTACTGCTTTAATAAATGCAGTGCTTTGACAGTGACTCAGAAATACAGAGACACTCATGCTGAGGGGAAGGAGATGGTCAGGTGATGGTGAGGTGAAGAGCAGAGCAGAGCGAGGACACGTTACCCTGGGGACCCTGTTACCTTGACGTGTATCTGATTACGAAGCACAGCTGCCCGCAGGATCATGGCTTTCGCTCGTCTCTGGAACTCTTTGCCCATCTGTAGAGACTTCTCAAAGGTTGTGCTTCTCTGATCCACGTCCCTGGCATACAGGATCTACAAACACAGTTTTCAATTAGCAGGTGAACCTCAGGTTTTAATGCAAAATCTTCACCAAAGCCTGTTTCTAGAACAGTCCCTTGTTTTAGTCAAAAAGGCAATATGGCATGTTTTATTCAAGGTAAGGTGCTTAATGACAAAGCAAGAGAAAAGTGGATTATAAATATAATTCAGTCAATGCTGAAAGGTATTGACAGAAAAATCAGCCAAAATATTTTAGCTTAGCAACAAGAAAAGGGAACAATGTTCCAGAAAAAGAAGTGCCAGGGTGACAAATGAGAGAGTGCAGCCCTGCCTTGCTGTGGGAGTCGATACGAGCATTGATCAGGCCCTCCAAGATCAGCTGGGTCAATTCATCCTCCAGAGCTGCCACTGTGGTATTAAAGGCCACGGCCATTTTGTTCATGTCTGCTGACACATATGGGCTAAAGTACTGCCCGTGGCAAATACAAGACAAAGTTAATCAATTGGTCATGTAAGTGCAACTATGTTAATACTTTAGGAGTCGATATTATCTTATGGCCTTTACACTTTTAACTTTAACTCACATTCAGCATTCCATATCAATATAATTATGTCAAGCAGGGCTCAAAAACAGGGATGACCTGATGTTCACTGATCATGTGCATGTGTCAATATGGCTTTTTGAGAACATATTGAACACTGCTGTTGTGAATTCTACTGATTTAAAGGGATAGTTCACCCAAAAATGAAGATTCTGTCATCATTTACTCATCCAGTTATCATTTTTGGACTAACTATTCCATTAAAGGAATCAGATTAAGAAGAAGTCAAAGTTCGGCAACTAAATAAAATTCATAGACCAAAACCACATATCCTTTTACATACCTGTATGAGGGCTCTGTTCCTGATTTGTGTGTACAGTGTTCTTACATGAGGGGCCAGATACAAGTCTAGGAGGAGATTATCCTATAATACATAAAATAAAACACTTATGAATCATAACATCCCAACAAAAATGACAACAGAAAGAATCAGTGTCTGAAACTTTGCTAAATCAAAACCTAGCAACTCGGCACACATCAATAAACTCACCTTCATTTCATCCAGCATTTTCAGACAAGATGCATACTTTGACTCGTAAAACTTGAAGATAATATCACGGACTTGTGGTTCCAACTCTAAAAATAATTTAAAGGAGCTAAAAAACAAAGGGCGAGTAAAATTAAATCAATGAGGTTTTGTCCACATGTAACCAGTAACAATCTACCTCTTGTGTTAATTAGAACACCTAGTTTGAAGGTGCAAAAGGTTCACCTGCTTGAGATGACATTTCGCTGCAGTTCCTGTCTGTCAAATGTAGCCAGGGCACACAGCCCCCCGTACACTGCTACATTACTGGGGGAAAGTAGCTAGAGAGCAAACAGAGCATCTCATTACACACTGTATCTTATTTATCTTCAACGGTGTTATTAGAACTATCTGGTGTGGCATTAGAACAAAGCTGAAAATGACACCAACCTCAGGGAAGTCGCAGTGGTCAAAGGAGGCTTGCAGGAAGCACTTGGCAGCCGGTTTATACTTTCTTGAGGCAAGTTCTGCCAATCCTATTGTATTGTAAAATCAAATCAAAAGAAAGGTCAAAACCATTTTTACATGACTTACTGTACAAATCTCAGGAGTTGACTAAAAATGTGACTACAATAATAATACAAATTAATAATACATACATACACATACACACAGTATCTCACAGAAGTGAGTACACCCCTCACATTTTTGTAAATATTTTATTATATCTTTTCATGTGACAACACTGAAGAAATGACACTGGCTGTGTTGAGTTATTTTCAGGGAACAGCAAATTTACACTGTTATACAAGCTGTACACTCACTACTTGACATTGTAGCAAAGTGTCATTTCTTCAGTGTTGTCACATGAAAAGATATAATAAAATATTTACAAAAATGTGAGGGGTGTACTCACTTCTGCGAGATACTGTATATATATATATATATTTTTTTATATATATAAATTGTTAATACATTGAGTATGTATACACATTGTTAAAAACAGACTAAAATAATGATTCAGCATGTGTCTACATTTCAAAGATAAATAAACTTCACATACTTGAAATACAAATAAAGTACTTGCCTGCAGCACATTTCAGTTTGGTTAGAACAGCTTGGTTTTGACTATCTCTCTCTCCTCGTTGCTAGATTGCAGAGATACACAAAAATTATAATTGTAGATTCATTCTCTTTTGAAATTTCTCAGCTTAGTAAACCAGAATGAAA